AAGAGGTGCGTGCACCACAAGACTACATCTTCCGCAAAGATTGAGCGTGACGTACGGATGGGAACGGAGGATGAAGACGGTCGTAGAGCTATCTCATTCATTGTAATGAGGCTTAGTGTGGGAGACAAAAATTGAAGCGTTGATAAAAATGTTTTATACACTAGATGAAGAAATGTGAATGTCTGTCTTGCTACTATCTAATAGTTTTGACCCCGTCAGGATGCTATGCGACAACGTTTTTCGAACTAAAATGGTACACTTCGCTTCGCGTTCAAATCAGAGGTTTTGACTCAACGTAAATTTAAGCAACACGTTAAAGCTAACACGGACCGCTCAAAAACATCATATGTTACATAAAAAGCTTATGCAATCAGTTTACCTGATAACATAGTTTGTCATGTATGGTTTATCAACAGCACAGTTAATCAAAAAGCTTATCGAATCAGCTTATATAATACACTGAATACCATATCAGTTTATCCAATAACATAGGTTGATCTCGCAAAGAACAACTCACAGGTAGCCTTAGTTTTTTCGCTTTGATGTAATCTCAAAGCTCTTGTGCATCAGGGCAAGCCCTGTCGCGTCACACAAATGAATAAGGCAATCACGCAAATCGGAAGGTAGATCACAGCAGAAACATGCGGGAAGGAGGCACATTCCACGGAGTTGAGGGCCGAGTTGTGCATCCCAATGAAGGCGCGCGTGTTGAGCGCGTGCTGGGTGTGCAGTGTGGTTGTATGGTGGCAAGGACGACATGCGGAGAAACAGATCGTTGATGTCCCTTAGGGCGCATCAGTTTTATGAATATAAGTGTGGCCGTGAGACAAGTTTAAAACGCGTCAGTCCTTCAAACGTCCCCCTGTTCGTGAACCTGCAATACCAGCTGCTCCCAGACGAGAAACCTCAACGCCGCTGAACATGCCTGGCCACCGCTGCCGGCAAGACAGTCTTGTCAACAGGCGAGCTGCAGAAGAAGGACATCCGTGGCAGAGAGAGCGGCACGCACGCCAACGAAATGAAACTAGTCTTGGATAGCCTACAGCAACGTCGACAACTGGACAGACGGTGACGCCCGTCGCCGCTTGAGGTGGGTCTTGAGACCGTGCGGCAGTTGCAGCGGGCCAGGGTTAAGAAGCCGCCAGCCCCATCTTTCCCGAGCAGGGATGATCCTGCCCGAAAGCTCACTGCGCTGCGTGTGACCCAAGTCAATGTTGAGAGGCTGTTCTCGGCGTTGAAGTCTATCATCAGCCATGCGCGCTCATCGATGACAACTGACAACCTTATGGATGGCATTCTATTGTTGCACACCGACTGGTAGATGGCGGTGCTGAAAGGGTTGCTGATAGTGACGCATTTGACCACCAGCCGAGTCCACCCACTACCCAGTCAGTCCAGTTTGTTAATGCTGCGCGCGTGTCCGTGACGAGCTGGCGTCACAAATAGCTGAAGCCTGTGCATGCCCAGGCCGAATACATGGCCACATCAGCTGCTTGGTCTTCAGCAACGGGGCTGGGCGTCGAGCCCTTTGTTATCGGGTGCTTGAGGAGGCTGGATCCGGCTGGTATGTACACGACTACTTAGAGGCAGCTAGATCGGAGTCGGAGTCGATTCGCAGAAAGTTGAGTCGCAATAAACCAGTACCAGACGACCTTGCTCCACCGCTGCGGGAGGCTGAACTCAGCGTTTACCTTGACCTCCTTGTGGAATACGTCCAGTGCCTTATCCAGCTTGTCGAGGGGCACCAGCATATCCTGGATAAAGTGGTTCTTTTCGTACAGCTCCTTGATGGTCTGGCCTTGAGTCAGCTTGAGCAGCGACACCTTCGGCGGCACCATCCAGCCGCAGATCCAGCGGAACGCCGCGTTGTTTCCGAATGGTATGATATCCTGTACATGGGTTCAGCTAATCAGCGATGATTTACCAAGGTGTTCCGCGTAACGGGGAAATCCTGAAGCCCACTAAGCTGAGATATGTCCACCGATTGAATCTGCACCACCATAACGTTGATCTAGAAAATGCTAGATGCTCTATTGTTTTTAAAGGTAAGCGGTGTACTACAATACATTTTAAATGAGCAGAAGCGTCCTGCTCCGGTCGGGTCCAAGCGCCTTTAAAATCGAAATGCGTATCGGCTAGGCGGTATAAAGTACGGACCATTCGATTAATGCAATACAGCAATGCAAGGCGGCTGGCAAAAATACGCACCATACTTGACGAGATACCGATCGTCCTTTTCGCTCGCTCCCCACTCCCACCCACTGGCACTGCGAAGCAGCCACCCCAGGAGAGGCCCGGAAAGCTCACGTGCCTGGATCTCCCAGAAGATGGAGCGCGTGTGCCGGTGGTAATAGTCGCGCAGCGGCACGTATTCGCAGCCCTGGCCACGCTCTAGGAAGCCTTCCACGTGCTTGAAGAACCACGGCTTGTACCACATGCCGATGGCGTTCACCTGGGGAGCAGCAGCGGCAGTGGCTAGTCAATACGGAGCCGGCGGCGGCCCGACGACTCATCATGCTGGTCCCGGGTCGGCTAATTCCTGGAGCCGGCGTCCCGGGGTCTCCCTTATCGATCTCGCCTCCGGCTGGCCGCTGTCGGCCGGCGGCTCCCGGCCCGGCACCGACGGAGCCGGACCGGCCTACCGCTGGCGGTGCCGCTCCTGCGCCCGGACGCCGCAGGGGGCCGCACCGGGCCGCCGGGGCCGCGGCCGGCTGGTGGTCCGGGGACCAGCCCGCCTCGGCGCGGACGTCACCCAGCCGCCCGATGCAAAGGTGAATTATCATCGTGTTGCATAACACCCCACGTGTCAAGCTGTTGGCCTCCCTGGCAAACGGAAGCGCCAGCTGCAGAACCGCGAGGCGTGACCTTCGCCGGTCGGCAGATCCACAGAATGGCCTTGCCCTGACCTTGTCTGGTGCAGGGGACTGCTCGCTGTCTCACCTTGTCAGGAGCCGCCCAGCTCTTCATGGCCGCCGGCGCGGCCGCACCTTCACGGGTGGAATAATTGTTCGAATCATAATCGTCTGGTGCATTAGTGTGCACACAACGTTTCGGCCAGTTCATACCAACACACACCACTCACCAACACACCAGACAAGAGGAGACACACCAGGCCAGGACGATAACACGTACAGTTATTCTATCCTTGACACTAGTGCCTCGCCTCAGTACTTTTGTAAAACTTTGACTCTTACCTTACCCGATGCAGAGGACCACAAGCCCCAGACCTTGCCTGCTACACAGGTCTGCTCGCTCCTGAGCCGTAATGTAGAGGACCTCACGCACATGACCCAGTCAGCTACCCAGATCTGCTCGCTCCTGACACGCGCATGACCCAGTTAGCCGTCCAGGTCTGTTCGCTCCTGATACGCACATGACCCAGTCAGCTACCCAGATCTGCTCGCTCCTGACACGCGCATGACCCAGTCAGCCGCCCAGGTCTGCTCGCCTCTGACCCGTGACGCAGAGGACCTCACGCGCATGACCCAGTTAGCCGTCCAGGTCTGTTCGCTCCTGATACGCACATGACCCAGTCAGCTACCCAGATCTGCTCGCTCCTGACACGCGCATGACCCAGTCAGCCGCCCAGGTCTGCTCGCCTCTGACCCGTGACGCAGAGTACCTCACGCGCATGACCCAGTTAGCCGTCCAGGTCTGTTCGCTCCTGATACGCACATGACCCAGTCAGCTACCCAGATCTGCTCGCTCCTGACACGCGCATGACCCGGTCAGCCGTCCAGGTCTGCTCGCCTCTGACCCGTGACACAGAGGACCTCACGCACATGACCCAGGCAGCCGCCCAGGTCTGCGCACGGCTGACCTTGTCCGGCTCGGCGCTGCTGACGAAGTCGCCCGTCATGACGACGGCGCGGTCGCGGTCGAAGAGCAGCGTCTCGACGAACTGGTGCTGGCCGCCACACTCGCGGCTCAGCAGGGCCGTCAGCTCGGCGCGCGAGGTCGTCGGACGGTACCGCAGCCGCACGAACGGCTGCGCCGGCACGATCCGCACCTCGACCGCCGTCAGGAAGCCGAGCGTGCCGTACGACCAGAACGCCGCGTAGAACAGGTCGGCGTTCTCGTCCTGCGGCAGAGGCCGGTGGCCGTGGGAGAGGACGGTGTTCTCGTCCTGTGGTGGTGACGGATGACAGCGGGCGTCGCTCGTCGCCGCCCGTCAAACAAATGGCACGCTAGTGGTTAGCTGAGGGCAGACATTTAAGTGTACCTTCTAGTCTTTTAGCGACTCTTTTAATAGGAAATGATATGGTTCGGCGGAGGCAGAGAGATGGAAGGCGAGAAAATCCGTGGGGCGGCTGGAAGGAGCGGAAAAGAGAATAGTGTAAGAGACATACATTTAAGGACAGTGCGGTCAGATAGCCAGAGTAGGCTGGAGACTGACTGAAACAGGAAAGGGGAGGGACGGAGGGAGACAAAGGGGCATTAGTAGCTGGTTCTGACCTTTGAGCAGGTGATGACGGAGCCGTTAGAGAGCACCATTTCTAGGGACAAACAGATGTGCTGCAACAAACCGTAGCGATGTGACGACGACTCTACACCTGTACCCATCACCAGGCCGCCTGGAAACGTAGAGGAGTTATGTCAGCCTCCGTTGTGCCGCCGAAAGGCTCGGCATAAGGGGCAAGACACCTGCCCAAACATCTCTTAATGGCTAAGCAAGCAGCACATGTGCTCCTTGAATGCGTCACACAGACTAAAGGGATGATGGAACGGCCAAAAGGGCGGCCGTCAAACTATGGGCGAAACTAGTGCTATCAACTGGATGTACAGCTGCAGAAATAAAGAGAGAGAATATTAGAACAAGTGAGAGGCGGAGAAAAAGAGGTGCCGCCTTTTTGGAGCATGCCTGGGATAAAACTACGAGAAGCCTACAGGACCGCTGACAAAAAGTTATGCCTGTGGCTTAAGCTGATGTAATTGCGCAGTGCATTCGCACAAGGACCCAAGTGGGGGTTCTGATCCCCAGTCAGATTGCTCCCACCTTCCCAACATCTTTTCTTTGCGGTGAAGTGGTCATAAAGCCACGGACAATTGCCTGTCACGCTATCTAAACAGGCTCATGAAGACAAGTCGCTTGCCCTCAGCCAACCTCGTCAGGCACCGTCATGAAACGACTGCACCAGTTCCCAACCACAATGGTTATTCCAAAATAATAGCTACTAGTCGGTCCCGTCATTAGTGGTGACATGGCGCGACAGTGACGTCATAACGTAAGAGGGAGGTAGAGCGGTAGTGACGGTACGTCATGGGGTGACGAGGTGAGCAGTGACGTCACATCGTAAGGGGAGGTAGAGCGGTGACAACGGCACGTCATGGGGTGACGAGAGGAGCAGTGACGTCCCATCACGAGCTGGACGTGCGCGGCAGGGAAGTCGCATTGTCGGCTGATGTGCGCGGCAGTGACGTTACGTCATGAGCTGGACGTGCGCGGCAGTGACGTCACATACCGACGGTGAGGTCATCCATCTCGGGTATGATGGGCAGCGTCCAGCCCAGCGGGTTGAGCGTGGCCGTCAGCTGACCCATGGTGACCATCGGCTCCAGCCGCACCACCTGGGATCACCAGCCGGGCGTTTGTTTACTCCACCGGCCGGCCGCACTGGCTGTGGCAATGTTTATTCGGCGTCCGGGCGCGGAAGCAGAGGATGTGGTACAAGCATCACGTTGCGGTGAAGGGGTCAGGAATGTGCAGTGGATGCTTGGCTCGCGTGGTTCCATGCTGCGTGACGTAGGAGGGCAGCGACCATGATATGGCAGTTTTGGCAAAAGCGTTCTGTGCTTCTCGGGGCGGGAGATGAAATCTCACCGCTACAGAGCAATCAGTCACAACCTATGCGGTACAGCATTTGAGGCCAGGTACCTCTGATACCAATGCTATCCTTGATACCACTCGGACTGCTTCAGGGAAGGCGAATAACGCGCAAGGCCACTGAATGCATGCTAGCACTTGTGGAAGGAGATTCTTAACAACTATCAGCGAAGACAACACTTGCAAGGAAGCTCAGCAGTACAATGGTGACATACTTGCGGGACTAACGGTAACGAGTGTCTCCAGTCTCCCTTCCCTGTGTGGAGAGGGACTAGAGGGCTTCGCCGCAGCAACGTGACACGCTATCCACGACTGAACATGACGTACCTGACGTTGCATATCAATGTCGAGAATATCGACCAGATTTATGTCGATTTTGCAGAACGTCTTTTTGTACTTGGGTTGGCGAAACGAGATGGTTTGCCAGCCGGGTCTAGCGGTGCACATGGGCACTTCCATGCCCTGCGCTCGCCACCGCTTCACCTGCAACAGCGACAGCAGATGTGACCCTGACGGCGCTGCTTCTCCATGCGTGACGGACCAACCAGTCGAGAAATCGACCCGCAGGGCAGTGGGCCGAAATTGTGACTAGCATTAATGTCAGAGAATCACGTCCAGTGCTCGATCCCCCCCCCCCCCCCCCCCCCCCCGCCTCATACCACACCTCAAGAAATCTGAGTCCTATGTGGCTATTCTTCAGAAAATGTAACGTAGCAGCAGTACAGACGTGGCAGCAAATAGCATCTCGCCATGACACCGCGCCAAATGAAGAAATAGACTAGCGGTGTCACGAGGTCATGCGTCCTGTTGTGCGGCATTAAAACGCATCTCGCCCTCATTCCAGCCCTCATTTTCTTCAAGGCTACCCACGTGGCGACTACCCCTACCATCTAAGTTATTCTTACAAGTTCACAAAAGCACAATTACTGCTACGGGTTTGAGGCTATAGAACATGATTATGGGGTTCACAGCCTCACAGGACCCATTGGGCAGACAAAACGGCTTGGTCTGCTCAAAACAGATAACTTTTTGGTCACCAGCATGCGGCCTGTCATGCCGGTTGGCGCGACATGGAGGCGGTGAAATATCTAAGCGGTGTGTCGGCTTCATACTCGATCGCGAAATCCGATGTGCATTCCATTGTCATGGTCAACAGTGGTGTGTGTCAGAAGGGCCACCGCCGGGTGGACAGCAGTGCGGTGCTGAACAACGATTGGTTTGACGCGCACGATGCGCGGATAGAGCATCGATAGTTAATTGGAGCTTTGTTTTGAGGCATAGAGCTACAGGAAGGCTTCCTATCGCAAAACAAGGAACACCTTGAGACTGCAGGCTGCTGATCATTCGGAAAAACCGCGCAACTTATGTTAATGGTGTACAATATCCCTGACCTGCCATTCAAATAAATGATCACCTGTTTCGACCTCAAGAAGCGTAAAAGCGCCCGGGGGAGGTGCGATTAATTGGCCCCCAAACAGGTTTTCTAGAATTTGTTTTCGAACGGTGCAGCGTGGCCGCGCCACACTTTGTGTAGTTTTGGGGAAATGAATTTCAAACATTTCGGTGTGGCAAATTGAGATTGTAGTTGTGATTGACCTTGTAAGGTCGCCGATCTATGGCAGGTCAAAGTCAGGCCGTGGCTGTCAGCGAATGCAATTTCTCAGAGAATCGCTCAACATGATGCGACAACGGAGTGCTGGACTGACCCATACATCCCTGAGATAGTTTGTTAAGCAACGACACGGTTTTGTAGGAGTACAACAAATTCCAATGACCCAAGGTCAGGGAGAAAGTAAGACAAGGGTCTAAACCAACCTGCTTTTTACTCGAGAAACTCCTGTGCAGGAAATTTCCAGCACTTATTTCGGATTTATTAATAACAGGAACCGCAAGAGATATCTTCCACGGACCGCTCAAAAGTCGGAGTACGTTTATGACCTAAAATGCCCAGGTAAACATCTTTTTTGAAAAGCATACCGCCCAGCGCAATCCTTGACGTTAAGTCGGTTGCTTAAATCAAAACAGTCTCGTGGAATTTTGGATCCCCGTGACCTTCCAAGTGTCAAACAATGTCACTGAACTTAACTAGACACCACCGACCTCTTGCTTGAAGCAGGTTTCCAGGTTGAGGGCGGTTGCATAAGGATGTCGGGGACACTTAATACCCCAATCTCAAGTTTGACCTTGCTTGACATTTTTTGACCCAAAAATAATAACCTAGCAACCTTAAAGTTTTACACAAGTGATTTCACATACCGGCCAAACAACCCTGTGAATTTGATGTTCCTAGCTCTTTGGGTTTTTGAGATCTTACAGGATCAAAGTGACCCCCCACCCCACCCCCACCACCTGAGCGAAGAGTATTCAACCGATGACGCGGGCGCGTGCTGAAACCCATTAACAGCTTACGTTAAGCATCAACTTCAAAACCAACTTCAGCAACGCAATCAACTGGCTACATTGCTGAAGATAGCTGGATGTGCGCTTCAACCAAAAACTAATTTCCTGAACCGTGAGGGATATCTAGAGTTATCAACAGAACCCTCAGGGCGTGAAAGCTCTGAGCGAACGAAACGCGTCCCAAACAAAGAAGGGCGCGATTCACTCTCCTCCTAACCTTGAAACATTTTCCTCACGAAGAGTGTTATCGCAAATCCGGTTGAGTTCGGCAACACTACAAATTGGACCTTACCCCTCCCTATTTACCAACGTTACGTGAATGTCTCCGTCCTCAATGTTCGAACTCATCTATTCTTTCAATGCACCATTCCGCACAGAAGCTGAGTTCGGATCAGTCGATGTGACGATCAGATCCAACAGAGCTCTACCTCTTCGATCGACCCACCTCATGGGATCGACCTTAGCTAAGCACTACGGACGACCCACCTCATGGGATCGGCCTTAGCTAAGCATGACGGACGACTCACCTCATGGGATCGGCCTTAGCTAAGCATGACGGACGACCCACCTCATGGGATCGGCCTTAGCTAAGCATGACGGACGACCCACCTCATGGGATCGACCTTAGCTAAGCATGACGGACGACCCACCTCATGGGATCGGCCTTAGCTAAGCATGACGGACCCACCTCATGGGATCGGCCTTAGCTAAGCATGACGGACGACTCACCTCATGGGACCGATCTTAGCTAAGCATGACGGACGACTCACCTCATGGGATCGGCCTTAGCTAAGCATGACGGACCCACCTCATGGGATCGGCCTTAGCTAAGCATGACGGACGACCGGCGTTACACATAACGGTTCTTTGCTTCGGATGGCTATGGGAGAGGTGGTCCGAACTCTTCCGCGAGCGGGACCGGTGGTCCGAACCCCTTCACGAGGGAGAGAGGTAGTCCGACCCCCCCCCCCCTCGCGAGCGGGACCGGTGGTCCGAACCTGTCCGCGAGCGGGACCGATGGTCCGAACCTTTGTGCGAGCGGTACCGGTGGTCCGAGCCTCTCCGTGAGCGGAACCGGTGGTCCGAGCCTCTCCGTGAGCGGGACCGGTGGTCCGAACCCCTCGGCGAGAGGGACCGGCGGCCCGAACCTTTCCGCGAGCGGGACCGGTGGTCCGAACCCTTCCGCGAGCGTGACCACCTCTCTCTCGTAGCCATCCCAAACAAAAAGACCACGCCTGCAATGCTCTCTCCCCCCTGGAAAATGGACATTATGCTCCGCTGTCATGCACTGCACTTGTTGTCCCTGGGGGTGCACCCTCTGCAAAGGTCGTCAGATACGTCCCTCAGTGGTGCGAACTTATAGTTGCCGCTTTCCGGGTTCTGTGTCCCTCAGAATGCAGCTGCTGGATGGTTCAAGTTCCCGGTTTATCCCTTTTGTGGAACCATTAACGATACGAACCGGACCATCTACGCTTGGGATGTGGTCACGTCCTCTCGTATGCTGCACAAGCACTCTTAGTGCCAGCGTTTCCGCAAAAAGTAGACACGTGCCGTTTGTAGCGACATCTTCTTATCAGACGGTTTTCGCACGCGTCATTGGCGCCACGCCACTCGAGCCGCCGGTGGCAGCTTCGAGGCACAAGAAGTCTGACGGCGGAGCGGTTGACGACCCTCTGGATCTGCATTTTTAGTTGTGAGGCGTCAGCTGTTGATAGCTGCTAGTTGTAGTTCCCGCGTAGTTGGTAAAGAGTCGTCGTAAGATCTTCCCATTAATTACGGCAGAATCTTTCTCAGTGAGGGACACAATGCAATTTGGTCAAGTCAATCAGGCGTTTCCAAAAGCCACCCCAGCATGGGGCTCATACCACTATAATAATCTAACCCGTGCCCCCCCCCCCCCCCCTCCGCATGCTGGTGGTATTTCCGCAATTTGTTGCACTGTGGCTGATGATTTCCTTTGGAGCGGTGCCATGGCCAGCGGTACTCCCCCCCCCCCCCCCGCCCCCGGCACGCCCGCGCGAAGTCATCAATAGACGGAGGCGAGACCAGCCTCAGGTATACGGCCTCAGGTACCAGGCTTCAGACCTCAGGTGCCAGGCCCCAGATACCAGCCTCAGGTATGCGGCCCACATTGCGGCGCGTGTGAGAAGGACGAAGTAAAGCTTCAGTGACACGTCTCCTCCCGTGGCTCCGCGCACGTAGAGCAGGCAACCAAGACCTCATTCACAGTTGCGGAGAGGTGAACTCGGATACACACACCAGTAGTGGAGGTAAGGGAGGGGGAACCAAAGGCGGATCCAGGATTTTGTCGAGGGGGGGGGGGGGTGGCAAGCAACATTGTGAGCGTCTTCCTTTGGTTTAAGACCCATTCAAAGAATCCTCGCATTCCGACTGCTAAATCTTAAGATTCTCGGCATGTAATTTTTTATTCGGGAATCCTCTTACTCCGCGTAGCCACAAAAAAACTAGACTTGCTACGCATGCACATACATGGAGCTTATTCATTTTTTTCCAGATAATGGTAAATCCTGTCACCCTGAGGCTAAGTTTTTCTGAAACATGGCCAAAAAAGTTAAAGCTAGCTGCTAAATGCCACCAAAATCAAGCCTGAACTTGATTACTGGCTTATTTACAGATAACCAGCTGGTCGATGTGATCTTTAATAGCTGATGACTAATGCAGAGTTTTTGCTCTGTTTGTTATGAAGGATTACAAAAATCCCAGCATTTAAAATGAGTTAAGAACGTGAAAATTTGTGACACCCTTTACCCAGGTGTAAAAAGTGTCACAAACTTGATAACCAACGAAAATGACACAATACGACGTCAGCGGCACATAAAATGGTGTTTGACAGTTGTGTGCAAATATTCATCAGAGGATCTCCAGCTGCTTCTCTCAGGCTAAGACACCAAGGCCAATGGCTACGGAGCCTGAGCGATCTTGGGTGCCGCGTCAGGCCAAGAAAGAGGCTTTCGTCAACAAGTATAGGGTCCTCAGAGCAAACGAGAAGAACGCAAGGCCAAAGTGGTGGGCTCCTGAACGATCGGGTGTGCCCCGGCAGGCTGACATATAGGAACCCCAGC